GACCTGACTGAAAAATGTTGGATTGTATACCTGGATTATTGAGCATGATCTTTATCTTCCAGTAACATTTCAGAAGATCTAACTCACAAACTGGGCATTGTCAATTGCATCCACACAATCTTCAATGTGAGGAACTGGAAATGAACCAGTGATTGTCACAGAATTCATCTTTTGGAAATCTTTAATGAAATGAGAGGAGCCATCAGCTTTCATTTCTAACGATGGAGAACTCCCAAGGACTGGAACTGTGAACAAACCCATGTTGTAACAAATACTGTTCAGAAGAACTCGTTTCATTTTATTTATGGTTTATTTACAGAGTAGAGTAACAACTACTGTATACTAAAACAAATACTGTATACTAAAACATTTGAAGTCCAAGCTAATTTGCAATGCCAGCCTTTAGCAAGACACAAATCAACAGTTGCACTTTGGTTGGGTTCACGTCTAACGGACTGAACGTCAGGCACCGTGGTGAGATCATGAAACAAGCAGTGAAAACTTCTTCTCAGTGACAACATATTATTTTGTAGCTTCCAGTTAACGTTAAAGGTTGTTGCTTTTGACAGAAATGGCTCACTCTGTCCTGTGGCGGTCAGCTCGATAAACATTGTTCCCATCAAAGGAGATGACTTGATCAGGAACTGAACTGCTGAGCCAGGTTTGAGACAAGACATCTATGTTGGCACTGGTTGGATTAGCCCAACAACAAAACATATCAGCTGTAGAAAGAACACTACGAATGTGGAGCTAAATAATCCCCAGAGCATCAGCTGGAGTAATCCTGATCTTAATGTCTGTACTGATTGAATTCAAAATCTTACTTCTAACCTACAAAGCTCTCAACAACCTAGTTCCATCTTATATTACAGATCTCATTGTTCCATATTTTCCTAACAGAGCACTTCGCTCTCAGGCTGCAGGTTTACTTGTGGTTCCTAGAGTTCCAAAAACAGAATGGGAGGAAGATCTTTCAGTTATCAGGCTCCTCTCTTGTGGAACCAACTTCCAGTTTCTGTCCGTGAGGCTGACACATTATCCAGTTTTAAGACTAGGCTTAATCTTTCCTTTTTGCTAAATCCTATAGTTAGGGTCAGCTTGGGTTTCCTGAGCTGTCCCTTAGTTATGCTGCTATAGGCTTAGACTGCTGGAGGACAAACTGACCACAATTTTCACTCTACTACTGTCTTTACTTACTCTGCTCAACCTGTTTTGTATTTGTAATTATTTTTTCTATCCTTAACGTGTGATTTTGTCTTTCAGATACACCTGGACCTATACCTGGACCTACCATTCTGTGTTCGTCTGTCTCTCCTTCCTGTCCTCTCAACCAGCCGGTCAAAGCAGATGGCCGCTTGTCCTGAGTCTGGTTCTGCTGGAGGTTTCTTCCTTTTAAAAGAGAGTTGTTCCTTTCCACTGTTGCCACTGTGCTTGCTCAGAATGGGAGACTGCAACGAAGCCAAGATTCAACTTGTCTGCTGGATTCCTTAGATAGAGAACTTTACTAATTGGCTTTTATGTGAATGTTCCTGTAAAGTCCCTGAGACAACTTTGTTGTGATTTGGCGCTACATAAATAAACTGGATTGAATTGGCCCAGGGTTGGCTGTTGACAGAACATTCTTTTATTGTTGCCACAATAAAAGAATCAAATACCTCTGCTGTTCAATGTAGAAATATGATTTATTAAAGTCTGCGAGGGAATCTCCTAGTAATCTATTCCCAGTAAATTAGCTAGAACACAAAAATCATGTTTTCAGTGTGCTGAATATCTAAACTCAGACAAAGGCACAAATTTCACATACAAGCATGTAAATAATAATAATAATAATAATAATATAAAAGTACTACTTTAGCAAATGGGGTTAAATGACTTGACTTTTAATCAAGTTAGGAAATGAAAAATAAGAGGGTAAAAAAATATTACTAACCAAAGTAAGGCTGATACATCCAAGTAAGCTGACAGTGACACGTTTTAGGTGTTTTTAATGTTTTTAATTGTACAAAACACACTATGAATAAGAAAAAGGAGGCAAAGTGCTGCGACAGGAGTCGGTGTGGTTTAACAAACTAATCAGATAAATGAAAATCTTTGTGATCACGACTTGAGCGCAGGTAAACAGGTGTGCTTAAAACTTTAACAGAAAAATAATTAAAAGAATAGAAGGTGTTTCAATTATTTCCCTGAAGAAAAGCCGAACAAGATGTTTGCATGGCAGCAGAGGAGGGAAGCACCGGGTTCAGATCCAGAACTTCAGGTACTGAATAGATTAGTACCTGTACTTGATTTGTGTGCATATATCTGAGTATTGCTGTTGGTGTGGAGAGCATAGCTTTTGTAGAAAAACAAAAATAAAATTTTCCGACCCGTTTTACAAATTTCAGTTTTCTATTTATATGTATTATCTCCTAGTTTACAAAAATACAAAGATTTATTACCATATTTTCCGCCGTACACGTCGCACCGCCGTATAAGTCACATTATTATGTGTCGCCGCCGACAACATGTGGGCCGGTGTTGTGCCAAAAATCGATTGGCTGCCAAATGGCGGCCGCGGGAGCGTGCACGGGAGGACTTTAACAAGATCAACACTTAAAAACAATTGTTTGCTCGTCATTATAGTAAAGTTGTGTCTCAGTTGAGCTTTTCCCCAGTAAATGCACTTTAATGGTCAAATCATTTCTCCTGGGCGGTGAAATGAAGCTGACTTGATGTTTGCTCCAGGAGTTCTGGAGTGAGACAAGGCAGTTTTATATGGCAAGCAAAGTGTCTCATTAATAGCCACTTTTACCTATTAATGAGATAATTGGCTTGCCATATCAGTCGAGGGTCCTCTAGTGGCTGAAAATGGTAGGGTTTAATATTTTACATGTCAGAATGAATGAAATTGTCAGATCTCAGACAAAAATTGGGTTTTAAATATGGGGAAAACATAAATACATCGTTTCGCTGTATAAGTTGCAGGCATGCTAATTTATGCCAAAAAAACCCCTGCAACTTACATATGCCGGAAAATACGGTAAAAGTCATAAGGCAATTAGAATAAAAAGACTACTTGAATTTAAAATTTCAAAACAAAATATCCCAGAGTTTTTGTTTTTCCTTTTCAATTGATGTTTTTTTTTAATCCAGTGTTTAGTTCTTTCAAAACGACAATGTAGAGCAGCATTTGGCCTCTGAACAATAAGTGAAGGGAAAAACGATCCCGTCTTAGTGTTACGGATTAGCTTGAAGGTCACACTGGAGATATGCTGGTAAACTCTGTGCAGCTTGACAACCAGCACTGGACAAGTGAAATAATAAATAAGGGTTTCAAATAACTTTAACATCATCACAGTTTTCCCAGAGATTTTTTGCAGCTGTGTCCAGACAGGAAGCTCACCTCCTGAGGACGCCGCCGCTGGAGACATAAAATATTCATGAAGAGGCAGAAAACAACCTGATAAAAGCCGTTTTAATTTAATAAAAATACCCAACCCCCACTCGGTTGGTTAATGCTTCAAATAAAGAGTCAGTGGCTTCTAGTCCAGCGGGCTTTGGAAGATGAGCCTGATGCAGCTCGTCTCCCCGCTCAGAAGCTGGATGCAGAACGGGCAGGCGGCGTGGAAGGCGTGAGTCCCATGTGGCAGCGGGATCTGGCTCCAATACGCCGTCGTCTTCTCTGAGCAGACGTGGCCGCAGGGGACGAAGGCGTGGGTGGGGGCCTCGGCGTCTACATAAAAGCCTGGTTCGCAGCCCAACCACAGCGGAACGTAGGGCCCCTTCGTCCGGCACATGGGGCACTCCCTCTCCTGGCACTCTGCGTTCACCTCCGGGTTGCGCCGCCCTCCCCAGCTGTGGTAGCCGTGCACGTGACCGCAGCGCAGGTAGGCCCAGGGCTGCTTTTCGTCCAGTACGTCTTTGCGTCGCAGACTGGGGAAGGCCAGCGTGTTGAAGCCCACGGGGCACTGCGGCCGCCCAGCGTTTAGCTCTTGCCTCAGCGCCTCCAGGTGCTTGACTGTGGGCGTTTGTGCGAGGCCCTCAGCGGTGCGCCACAGCAAGGTGGCGCCGCACAGGTCGATGAGGGAGCCATCCACCAGCTCGTTCGTTTCAGAATCAACCTGCAGAACAACGAGAGGTCACCCCATCAGATCCGTAGCTCCGTCTTATCAGAATGTTAGGTGATTATTCAGACAGCTGATGCTGCTCTAGGTCAAAACTTATGATAATCAGCTTCTGAAAAGGTAACAAACATTTCTACAACTTCAAATAAAAACAAAAAACTATTGTTAGAGCCCGTTTTCCTCCAATGATTTAGGGAGAGCTAAAGTGTTTTCTTCATACCTGTTCAAGATCCTGCAGGATCAGTACAGTTCTACCTCAAGATCATCTTGATATATAAATCCTGATCGATTTTTGTTGCACATCAGTTCAGCTGGACAAGACTTTGCTCCGCCACTGCTCAGAGCAATCAGTAAACAAGAAGACGGCATGCAGAGGATTACACGCCCGTCAACAAACATTACACAACCACCAACAGCCATGGCCCGGACAGGCCTCGTTTTAACGTCGAGCTTGATTTGTGACCTGGAACTTGGAGACGGTGATGAAAAGTGTACACAACAAGAAGCGTAGGGGCGGCTGTGTCTGAGTGGTCAGAGCAGTCGTCCTCCAATGGGAGAGCTGGTGATTCAATTCCACCAGCAGTCACATGATGAAGTGCCCCTGGGCAAGACACTGAACCCTCACTGCCTCTGATGTGTGTCCCATCAGTGTATGGATGTGATAAAGCTCTGATTGTTCTTTGTACAGATCTAGTAGAGCGCTGTATGAATGGATACATGAGGCGCAGACTGTTACAGAGCTTTGAGTGTCTTGATAAGAGAGAAAGGTGCTACATGTCCATTTACCATTTAACACTCCGTCTAATGATGATGCATATGTTATGACTGGCGTTAAAAGATCTTGAGCAGATCAGAAGTTACAGTCTGGACAAGAGAAAGGTTATGGACGGAGACTATACCATAATATGTTCTGCCTTTAACAAGCTTATAAAAAGGTATAGAAAAGGCAGGAACCGCTAAAGTTAGCAACCTTTAGGCACCTCATGCTGGAACTAGAGGGCTGCAGGGAGATAAAACCATTATTGTTGCCTTTTGATCGTCTGGAAACCTAAACGATTCTGCCTTAATTTGCATTAACAAACACTGCTTTATTTATTTTCAGGCCTAATAAAAGTGCTTAATAACATATGTTAAGAACTATTATCAACAGGACGACGAATAGCATAGATGCTAGCTTAGCATTGAAATCAGCACAGAAAGGGAAAGCATGATGGAGATTTATAAACAAACCACAGTTTAAAGTCATTACTAAAGACAGACATGTTATAACTTCAACTATTATTTACAAACACATATTCTTCAGGGTTTAGCAGCAACAGGTTTCTATTGCAAGAAGCTACGGCAACTGTTCTGGGACAAACTGCACCGGGCAGCACCTACTCTGCTGACTCTCGTAAACAGGCAGAATAGATTAAAGTCAACAAAAATGATTTCTCATATTTGAAAATCGATTTATAATTTTCCATGTCCATGATGCGATGCATTTAAAAATAGTGGGGGATAAAATGCATTTCATTTCTCTGAAGGGGATCAGTTCACACAACTGTGTTTTAGTGTGTAGACAGAGGTCACCCACCACGTTGCCCCTCTGCTGAGATGATCTGGTTTCCCTCAGAGTGAAGACATTGCCACAGACTGAGATCTCCCTCCACAAACCAGGTTTGGAGTCCTGACTGAAGCCCTGTCGAGGATGCATGACCAGAACACCGTTTGTGGTCAGTCCGTCCATCTGACCGTCCCGCATCTTCCACTTGGCGGCTTTTTCCTGCACCAAAATCAGTGGTTTAATCTAAGCGTCCCCGCACGGAACAAGTCAGGTCATGAATTACTGCCGGCTGCACTTATCACAGGACGGAGCAGCTCACCCCCAGGAAGATGTTCTTGGAGGAGTCGAACCCTGCAGCGTAGATGTGTGCAGAGTAAGGAGGGTTTCTTTGGCAGATGATGCGGCAGGCGAAGCGAGAGATGGTGCTCTGAGCGAGCTGACTGTCAGCGGTGCCCTGCCCACTGGGCACCGTGTCCGTCACCACGAAGTCGATGGGAGTCTCCGTTGAACGCCCAATCTGGAAATACACAGAAACAACGGGTTAATGAGTTCCTCGTTGCTGCGTGTGTGTGTGCATTTCTGCTGCCACCTGCAGATGAAAGTTGTTCTTTACAGCCAGGCTGTGACTCTGGAACAGCACGGGACATGATGACATCATTCAACTAGTTTCACTACAGCAGCAAATACACATTTACTGTTTGTTGGATCAGTTTCATATAATCTGTTTTCTGCTGGCAGGCAAACATCCTGTTCTAAAAACTGTTAGGTAAGGAGAGTGATCATCCATCCATCCCTCCATCCATCCATATATCCATCCATCCCTCCATCCATCCATATATCCATCCATCCCTCCATCCATCCATATATTCTTCATCCATCCATATATCCATCCATCCATATATTCTTCATCCATCCATCCCTCCATCCATCCATATATTCTTCATACATCCATATATCCATCCATCCATATATTCTTCATCCATCCATCCCTCCATCCATCCATATATTCTTCATACATCCA